TACAAACGTTCTCTTGTGTCTTGTGAGCTTAGATTCCTGCAACGGACCTGAGAAAAGGACACACTGAAAAAAAATGTTTCATTCATCCAATTAAAAAAATTAGGGCAAGTTATTTATTTTTCATTGGCTCAAGTAAAAAAATATAGATGTGAATCATTACCCTAAATTTTTTTATTTGGATGAATGAAACATTTTTTTCAGTGCACAAGGATGCAGAGTTAACAAAATGAGATGCACCACTGGTCTCTGAGCCACCAGACACTGACAGAACTAATATTAGTTTTGCACATACATTTAAAGCACTCTACCATTCAAAAGTTTAGGGTCCGTAAGGTTTTTCATAATTTTGAAAGACGTCTTTTATGCTCACCAAGGCTGAATTTATTTGATGGAAAAAATACAGTAAAAAAAAGTAATATTGTGAAATGTTATTACAATTTACAATAACTGATTTCTATTTTGATATATTTTTAAATGTAATTTATTCTTGTGATGGCAAAACTGATTCAGTAGCACATGATCCTTAAGAAATCATTCTTATGCTGATTTGAAGAAATATTCCTTATCGTCAGTGTTGAAAACACTTGAACTGTTTAATTTTTTACAATACAATTTTTTCTCTCCGATTCTGTAAAGATTTTTGTTTTTAATTCTTTACTGTCACTTTTGATAAATGCAATGCATCCTTGTTTAATAATAACTGTAAAAGTATTAATTTCTTTAAAAAAATTGACCCCAAACTTTTGAAAGGCAGTGCATATCTAAACTATTTCAACAGGTGCACTAACTCATGTTTGTAATCCTGTATAACATATTGGACATTTGAGATTATACACTTCCATCTAAACAATTTTAAAGAATAATTAATTTCAAATGAACAAATTTGAAATTAATTAAATTAATTAAATGCAGGATGTAATCTAATAATGGTTCCTTCACTTCATTGCAGCTCAAGGCACAAAAGAAGACAGCAAGAAATGAGAGACGTAATGGGTTTGGAGAAACTGTGACACTGTCCTCTTTCTGTCTTCTGTCCTGAAACTGATCCTATGACATGTCCGTGATCAAATGACAGAGCAAAGAAATATTTCAGTGGTTTTCTTCATTTGCTTGTGCTCCCCATTTCTCACTCACATCCCATGGTCTGTGCTTAGGTGTGATTCGCTTTTCTTTATTGCTTGTGTTCATTTTGTTTCATTTCATGTTATTGTATTTAAGATCTATGCTGTAGGGTCTAGTGATTTCAGTATTTGCCTTCCACATGTGATGTTATGCAAAACATGCTAAATAAAGCTAAGACTTTTGTTGATGCTTATTGTCTGGTTTTCATTTAAATACTGTATTACATATTCCTCTTTTCCACTCACATTTTAGCGAGTTATAGGCTTTTCCCCAACACACAAATAATAATCCCATTGTTTGGTTATAATCCTCTCCTAATTTCTAGAGATTTCTTTGAACTACGACACGTCAAAATGCGTCACTCGTGCACACGCTATTAATTACCTGAGAAACCCCAGTTACACCGAGAGCGGCAGACAGGTGTCTCGCACTCTCCTGTCTACACCAGCAATGGCACGGCTATAAATGCATTCTTTAGGCTCTCACGCGGTTCAAAGTATGTCCCAGCATCAACAGGCTGCTGGTATTAATGTAACAAAACCCACACAAAGTCCATCTGGAAGCGTCAACTCAGTGGTATTATCCGTGAGAGCAGAAAGCATGACTGGCCTGCATGGCTTTGTTCTGGAATTTTCTCCAATGGCAATTTGGTGGCGGGTTTGAGAGGATGAAATGTTTGAAATGAGGCCCAGACATGCCATCATGGCCGAGGTGCCAGAATGACCGTGGATGGTCTGCGCCATGTTGAAGTTTAGCAGCTGCGCCTCTGTCCTTGTGTACGCGCGTATTGCTTTCTTTGTTTACACATAAACTGGTTTTACGTATTGGCCAAAATATTACAAACCGTATGTGTGTGAATGTGGAAATAAAACTTTTTTAATCATTTAACACTTTTTAATCCATAATTTTAAAAACTAATCCAGCCTTTATAATATTTTTCAATGGAGCTTCTGACTGGACGCAGCTGGTAAACAGCATGAGGAGATGAGGGTGCGTTTGAATGACAGATCCATTCATTAATACGGTCAGCGGGCCGATATTTCTTCATTAACACTGTTCAAACTTCTAGAGGGATTGTTTTTATATCACATGTTATTAATCAGTACGGCTTTTGGTGTCGGTGACGTGCGTGCTCCGTCTTAAAGATGCAACCCGAGACAGACGGAACACAGTCGATGACAACGCTGACAAGAAACTAAATTGGGTTGACAAATCCCTCGAGTGTTCATTGGTCTGTGAGCGTGTGCCATTACATTACGACACACGACTGATGGATGCGAATGTTGTGACTCTGTGTTTCCGGTTACTGAGGGTTTATATGAGATTGTAATTATTTATAATTTTCAAAACGATTAAATTGCAAGCATTCGCAGTTTTGATCATTTTACGTATTTAAATTGTGCAAAGAGACGGAGACCAGCAAACTATTATAACTGTTGTCCTGCAGCGCCCTCTGGTGTTTAGGTAAATGCGTGCTAGTTTGGTTAAACGATGCAACCGCCTGTGAATGAAATTACTTTTTTTTCTTTTCTAAAAATGTATTATCTAGCTTTCTCTCAAGCACATGCAAAGAAGGAAAAAAGGAAACACACACAAAAGACTTAAACCCACAGTATATATTTAAACTCTGTATCCTCAAAACAAATCACTTTGATCAGTCTTTATACATAAACATTAATGTAACACAATACAGCAGGACAGAAATGTCAAACAATACAATAAAACAACAGTTTCTTTAAAAAAACAGTCCAAACTAGCTGACCAGACACTGAAAGAGCTCCCAGAATGGATGCAAGTTTGGTCTTGTTACCTGAATCACAGGGAGAATGTAGTCAAGGTAAATCAATACAAAGCTTTCTTGGAAAAAAATCTCAAGAGAAAAATCACTTTATCAAAAAGGGGTAAAATATCAAAAGAAACAGGTTATAAAAATAGTTAGTCAGCCCCCCTGTGGACAAATCCAAGTATGAATGGGGAGTGATAACCTGTCTGAGATGATGATGAACGGATCATGTCTCATTATTGCTCTTGTGATTCATGATGCTTTCAAAATCATGATGTTGTTGCAAGAACCAACCTGAGCACCTTATACACCACAGAAAGAAAAGAGATCGCTTGATTCTTCTTTTTTGTCAATAACACAAATGATTCCTTCATGCAAGACATCAGACCTCCCTTTTATCTCTCACCCCCAAAACACCTACGTATCTCACAGCTCGGGGTGAGTCACGGGCCTCTATAATTAGACACGTTAAATATTTTATGAGAGACTGAGAAAAATAGTTTTTTTCCAAGCTTGTCAGACACTGAAAATACCTGCGTTTGAGGTTAAAAATACATTAAGCGTGTTGCATTTTTTAAACGTGTGAAAATGAGTACAAAGAGTGTGAAAGTGCAGTGTGAAACTACTTTTATAACATGAATCTTGACTAATCAGGATTTAAACAACATGTCAATTAAATCCTTAAAATTGGTCTGTAACATGAACAAGTAGAGGTGAATCTAAAGTAATGAATGTAACAGGACTGCATTTTTAGCCACTAAAGTATCTGGAGAAGACCTGATAAAATCTCAGCTCGAGATCTGCATCTCTATCCCTGTAGACATTGATATGTGTGAATTAATTACTGACTTTTCAGGACAACAATAGGACAAAATAAATGAAAGAAAATGAAAATGACAGCACCAATTAATACACTATTTCTCTGGAGCTTCATTTAGACATGTCTCATATAATGAATGGTGAATAAGGTTGGTATTCTTAAACATTCGTTTATGCATTCATTGCTGTTTTGCTAGCATTATGCTCAGTTGCTACCTCATGATATGCTAATATAACCATTTAAGTGAACTGATTCTGAAACATGATGCAGATCTTTGTAATGATCAGCGTGAATTGGGTGTAACATATGGACCCACAGCCGACTGAAAGGCAAGTGCCACATTAACACTCAGAAAGTGTTATGAAACAACAGACGATAAAACAGCCATAAAACAATAAAATTCTCCTTATGGTTTTAAACTTAGTGTTTCTGCTGTGAGGATTTAAATTAAAATCTTAAATTCTACAAACAACAACTGGAAAGCAAGCCTGAATAATAGCTAGGTAACTGCTTCATTGTTTCTGTGTGCTTTAAGGGGCATATGCTACAAAAAAAAATTCTATTTATCTAACACCCAAACAGTGCCACAAGCATCTCCTCTGAACTGATGTTTGGTTGAGCTATTCATAAACACTCCATTCACATATTTTCAATCAAAAGCTGACTGTTTAAATGGAGTAATCAGGAGTGTATGTAACATGTTTTGTGGCTCTAAAAGAGTCTAAACAAACCCAAATAGTTTAATATTCTTGTTGATAAAGGTTAATATTGAACTCAATTGAGCTGATATACCAGTTAATGTAGTTTTTCCCTCACATTCATGAAAGAAAAAAGTGTCAGTTTGTACTGTAAACATGATGTGAAGAGTCAATCAGTTTGGGTCAGTAAGCGATATCGGTCAGGCATGTTTTGTACATGAGTATATTTACAGCTGACATTTTGCGTTTAAAACAGCAGTACTGATGGGATGCTTGTGTCACCGCTCTGCCATTTATCTCTCTGGAGACTCAAAATGAGCTGATTTTTTTTATTTCTGGTGGACTTTTCCTTTTTCTGTGGGCAAACAGTAAGAAAAGCACATGATAATACATCATAAAACCTTCACTCAACGATACACTGTTATTCTGAGATGATGAAACTTACAGTCATTTAGCATTTTAACATGGTTGTAGTGTTCACTCATTTTGTGCTTAGACCATAAAACACAGCCTACGATGGGACATAGTGGGGGCTGCAGACTTTTTTGTAAATCTCTTGAGGCACTTTTTTGACATTTTCATTCAGATGACCTCAGGAGTTGAACATTGCAATGGTCCCCTTGCATATCTAACTAATCAACATCCCAAATGACAGTACATTCTTAGTTATGCACCAATAGTGCATGTGTGTGTGTGATGTCTACATGACAACATCCAGAGCCAATGTAGTAGTGTTCATGCTATGAGAAAGAAGTGTGTGAAAAGACTTAAAAAACTGTTGAGGATGTGAGGATTTAGAAAATTCTCACAAAAAGGAGTGCCAAACATGTGGCTAATCCCTGGCTGGAGAAAGGGGGGGTGAGCAAGTGTGAACGAGGAAGACAGATGGCAGAAGAATTAAAGACAATGACAGAGAAGGAGAGAGAGAGGGAGAGATGGGAGGGGCGGAGGGCTCAGGCGAGACGCCCTACTGGGGGTAGTTGTTCTGTTGCCGGCGTTTGGCAGACCTCAACTTCTCAAAGCGCGACTCCATCTCTTCGAGAACCTTAGGGGTGTACCGTACCACCAGCTTCACTGTACCCTGAGCAGCCTTCAACAGCTCCACAGCTTTCTCATGGTGCTCTCCTTCTACACTCTGAAAGACAGAAAAAGTTTACATGCACTTTAAAAGTTCAATTTCAGCTAAACATTTTTTAAATGTCATGTAAATGCTTTAGTTCAACTGAAATCACACGAGTGTCCAAGATAATGCATTTACAGCTTGACTTCATTCAGCCTACATATGCATCAATCAAACGTTCTTCTCACAAATTATTCTATTTATCTATTATCAAATAGATTTCAAATAATCATAAAAATAAATGGTCATAAATAAATAAAATGTATTATGAAATATTATAAATTATTTGTGCCTGTTAATGTGAAGTATGTTGGACTACAAAGCTATAGCTATGTACATACCACTCCATTAACGGACAGCAGCTGGTCTCCTCTCTTCAGGCCACCGTGCCGATCGGCGATGCCTCCAGGAATGACGCGGGAGATGTAGATGGGTGAGTTTTGTTCCTTCCCACCCATGATGTTGAACCCCAGTCCTTCCTCTGTTTTAGGGAGCTCTACCACACGTGGGTGAGAATGACCCTCGCTGGCTGCAAATGCAGCCACTGTAGCCTGGAAATGGAGTGAAGATGGTCATAAATCAAACACTTATGAGTGGCATAAACACAATTTATTAGTCTTGTGCAAAGGTAATAAATGTGCTTATACACATTTTATATGAACATATATAATATGTACATACTATTGTTCAAAAGTGTGGGGTCAGTAGAATTTTTATTGAAATTAATACTTTTTTCTAGCGAGAACACATTAAATTGGTCAAAAAAATTATATTTTAAATAAATTCTGTTCTTTTAAACTTCTCATTAATAATAATAAAAAAAATTCCCACAAAATACTAAGCAGAACAACAGTTTTCAACATTGACATTCTTTAAGGGATAGTTCACCCAAAGCTGTCAGATTCCATCAAAAATATCCTAATTTGTGTTCCGAAAATGAACGAAGGTCTTACGGGTTTGGAACAACATGAGGGGGAGTAATTAATGACAGAATTTTCATTTTTGGGTGAACTATCCCTTTAAGAAATGTTTCTTGACCACCAAATCATATTAGAATGAGGACCATGTGACACTGAAGTCTAGCGCTGCATGATTCTGGATAAATTGAAAATCTCAAATTTTTGTCTCAAATAGATATGACGAATCTCCCACGATTCTTAACTTATCAAAATAATGTGTAATGAATCGTTGTCAATTAGAAATGAGATTGCGTGTCTGAATCGAGATTGCGATCTTTTAATGATTAATTGTGCAGCTCTTCTGAAGACTGGTGTAATGGCTAAATAAAATACATTTTAAAATATATGTAAAAAATTATTTATTACTGTAAAAATTTGTTATTTTAAATTGCAATAATAGTTCAATATTTTTTCTGTATTTTTGTTCAAATAAATGCAGCCTTGGTGAGGTTCCAAAACATAAAAAAAAAAAACCTTAGCAAACCCTTTTTTTTCCTTTTCGGTAACGTATATGTACATTATATAAAGATTACCTATTTTACAAATAAATCATTTTATTTATTCATATAATAAAATATATCCAAAAAAGTATGAATGGCCACATGCCACAAATAAGATGCTCATATATATTTAGGCCATCAGTCTGGTGTTAAAGAAGGCATTACAACCAAGCCAATCAGATAATGAGATTAACTGTCGAACACTGTTCATGCTAAAAATAGTTAGCAGAATACTGTTAGTTACAGAAAAAAATTCCGTCTATTCAATTAAAAGAAATACAGTGACTTACCTTTGCTGTTGCATTCGCCCTCACCTCTGGGCTGCTATTTATGTCCACTGTCTCATACACATGCTCATATACCTGAAAATGACAGAACACTGTGTGAATTACACAAACCCACAAATACAGTACAAGTACAACCTCTACGGTCTTAAACGTCCATGTAAACAAAAACAGATGTACAATTTAAACAAGATTTCCAGAACCTGAGGCAGTTTCCCAGATCCATTTTGTTTAGTCACAACTAAATTACATGTGAATCATAATTCAACCTTGAAAAGCTGTCACATTAGTCTGTATCAGATCTTCAGTGAACAGCCACATAAAAACAGCAAGTGTGCCTTAAACCAGCTGTAATTAGTGAGTGGAATGCCACACCATTAAGAGGATATGGTATCAAATCAATCTCTTTACATGGCTTGCTTTTGATGCTTTGGCACATGTTAAACCACTATTTCATCTTCCATTTAGGGCCATTATTAATTTATTATACATCCACCACACTGCCTCAGCATTCAACTCCGAGTCATGCATGTTTATCTGAGAATCAAGCAAGCATTCAGAGGTTCAGTGCAAAGTGTAAATGTTTAAGAGACAAAGCTGTTGAGTTACCAATCAACTATTTTACGCATTCATCACAAAAGGTACAACACTTAACTCAAGCACTATCACATGCAACTGCCTAAACAAGCATTTCCAGAGAAAACATGGGTACCTTGGAGTCACATAACATGCAAATTAAAGACCGTTAGTCCATCCAGAGGCCGGGTGTAATAAGACTGAGTAGGCACAGATATTATTAAAGAGCCAGACGTTTTTAGTAAACTAATGATGCATTTCCAAGTCTCACACTCAAAGTGAGGAGAAAAAATAACAGTACCCTTTTTTTAAAACAACATTCAAACGACTGAACTAAAACACTATTATAATTTACAATGTTTTTTATTAGTAGTAAATAATTAGTAATGCACATTACATTAGAAATTTGATATTAGATTTTTTGTTCATTTACTAATATCAGTCGATATTAGATATTATACAATTGATTATCCAAAATCGACTGATATACACTGTAATTAATACTTTTATTTAGCAAAGATGCATTCAATTTATCAAGTGGAAGTAAAGATACAGTGGGTATAGAAAAGAATCACCCCCCTTTAAAATAATCACATTTTGTTGCTTTGCAGCCTGAAATGAAGAAGTTTTATTTTTTGATTTATCCAGCTGTATTTACTCAGTGCAACTTATACCATCCAAGTGTAAGATATAGGCCTAACACTGACATGTCAGAAAAAAAAAGAAAAAAAATAAAAAAACAGAATCAATGAGTTGGAAAAAGGATCATCCCCTCAGGTGTAGCTAATCACCTTCTCAATGGCACGCAAATCCATTTGACTTTCAACTGTGATCAGCTGTGGTCATTTTGATTAGCTCAGCATGAAAAGAGCTTTCCTGGAGCATTTCAGTCCTTGGTAGTGCAACTGAAGCAAACAATCAACTATGGGTGGCAAGGCCATATCGCCCTGCAGCCCAAAACTGGTTGCCCACTGAAGCTAAGCTGGGTTGAGCCTGGTCAGTACCTGGATGGGAGACCTCCTGGGAAAACTAGGTTGCTGCTGGAAGAGGTGTTAGTGAAGACAGCAAGGGGTGCTCACCCTGTGGTCTGCGTGGGTCCTAACGCCCCAGTATAGTGACGGGGACACTATACTGTAAAAAAGCACCATACTTCAGATGAGACGTTAAACCGAGGTCCTGAATCTCTGTCGTCATTAAAAATCCCAGGATGTCTTTCGAAAAGAGTAGAAATGTGACCTCGGCATCCTGGCCAAATTCACCCACTGGCCTCTGACCATCATGGCCTCCTAACAATCCCCATATCTGTTATGGGGGTGTTTCTCTGCAGCAGGGACTGGATCACTTGTCAGGATAGAAGGAAAAATGGATGAGGCAAAATACCATCAAATTCTTGAGGAAAATCTGCTGCCCTCTGCCAGAAAGTTGTCAATGGGAAGAAGGTTTACCTTCCAACATGACAATGACCCAAAGCACACAGCAAAACTGAGCACACAGTGGTTGAAGGAGAAAAAGTTGAATGTCCTTGCATGGCCTAGTCAGAGCCCAGACTTAATGTAACCCCATTGAAAATCTGTGGAATGACGTGAAGATTGCAGTCCACAAACAGTCACCATCAAATTTAACTGAAGTTCTGCAAAGAAAATTGGGCAAATATCGCAAAGTCTAGATGTGCAAAGCTAGTAGAGACAGAGAAATATCCCAACAGACTAAAGGCTGTAATTAAAGCAAAAGGTGGTTCAACAAAATACTGACACAAGGGGGTGATTCATTTTCGCTGTAAATACAGCTGGATAAAACAAAAACTGTGTCCGTCTTTATTTCAGGCTGCAAAGCAAAAAATTGATTATTTTGAAGGGGGTGATTCTTTTCTATAGCCAACCCACTGTATTTATAATGTTATACAACAGATTTCTAATTCAAATAAATGCTATTCTTTTAAGCTTTTTATTTATCAAAAAACAAAAAACAAAAAGAAAAACAAAACAAAACAAAAAAACAGTTTCCACAAAAATAACTGTTTTCAGCACCAAATCAGCATATTAGAATGATTTCTAAAGGATCATTTTGATTCTGAAGGATCATGATTTCTGACCCTGAAGACTGGAGTAAAGGCATTATTCCTGTAATGGCAAAGATGAATTTTCTGAATTCTAAATTACCTTTGCCATCACTCAAAGTTAATCATTAAAAATAGTGCTGGGCGGTATACCGGTTCATACCAAATACCGGTGTTTATTTTTGTTATGATATGAATTTTTAAAATACCGCAATACCGGTGTATGTCGCTTAAACAACGTTCGGAACGCGACACTGTTTGAAAGGGGTCCCTTTTCACTGTTGCACTGTGGTGAGGGAACAGCTGTATGTGTTACTAAGCGTGAAAGTTCAGAAACTGAAGCTGTAGAACTAATAGAACTAAAAAACTCTTACCGATTGTTGCTGAAAATTGAAAATACAGTTTATGATAGACCTAATCATTTCAGATGAGTGCCTAGATTTGCAGACAATATCAGGAGTATCATAATCTTCATTAACTATGCAAATAAAAAATGAAACCTATGCAAATAAATCTTTCCACAAATCTTTGCTTTCAGAAACCCCTGCTTTATTCTAGGCTCTCATGCAAGGCAAAGAACAGCATTTCTGCTGTGAGCATCACTTGCGCTGAGACTTCTGAGTCTTCAGTAAGCGCGACAGATGACCAAGCAGCAGGGAGGAGACCAGACAAGTGCCAACAGTCTTAGATTCACTACATGGGCAACAGAACACTACAGCTGAGTTTTATACCCAGTCTGAAACAGACAAATGGATTGATGCTATTTGTGGACATCAGAATCAATATCCAGTCCCTTTGCTCAACAATAACTACCCATGTACTACTCTAATGAGCACTTTGTCACACTCACAAGCATGAGGGCGATTTCAGTCATAACGAATTGAGTGGAAAGGGGAGAGGCGGGGGGTTGTGAGCATGAAGTAACTTCCGTCTGCTCTATTTTTTTCTTTTGGTCTATGTCGTTCTTTGGTACCTTCATCACACCTTGTTGTTGTTTTCCCCCCAGCATTATACACCATGTTCATTGCATTTTTAAGACAGTGGGTCTCATTCATTTCAGTTTTTCTGAATTGCTAAAACACATTTCTTGAAACCATCACTCATTTTCTCAAAACCTTAAACACAAATACAAATACTCAAACTTCACAAAAATTCACGAAACCTCTGACTCTTCCATCAAAATAAAACAATCACTGCAAAACCATTTCACTTGCACTCAAAATCAAACGGTGCTCTCAGATCACACACACGAGTCAATAAAATAAACATACTCAAATACTGCAATTGTAACATCAGGGTCAATGAGAGATTAATTCTGTCTCAGCATCATGTCTCTGTGCTTGAGTCCGGCCTGAGGACTTTGTCCACATCACAAGTAATGTAGTCTTTTTTGCTAGACAAAGAGAAAAAAACCCTCTGGTCTGACAGATCCAGTAACGGTAACACTCTCTAAACCGTTAGAAACAAGTGTGAACAATTTTGAATCGTTGTGTGTAAACGATGACAGCTGTGCTTTAGTTGAGTTTAACTTTTGCCACTTGTGTTTAGCATTTTGCAGCACAAATGCATCACAGTGTGATAAATGTTTAAGTGAATGAGAATGTGTTTAGAGTTTTGCAAAAAGTGTGCATGAGGTTTGCAAATAGAGCCTAACTGCCTGAACGTGTTTAAGGTTTAGCAGAAGGAGTGCTTTATTCGACAAATTGGTTTAAACTAGTGAGAAATTGGTTCAGAGATTGGGGTTTAGTGTTTTAGCAATTCAGAAAAACTGTAATAATTGTGTGGATTGTTTCATATTTGTATGCACAGGGGAAGCTCTAACAGGAAGAAAAAACAACCGAACTGACATGAACTTGCTTTTAAACGTGTTCTAATGTTAATGAATTTGGAGTATTCTAAATGAGTAACCGTGTGCACAAGGTTAGTCATTTGCATAAAACATGCAAAAACCATCTCCATATAATGGCTCACACAGCCTTTCATCACTCTGAGCAAACATGACGCTTTCTAAAGATGTACGCTCCTCAAAACCAGTTCAAACACAATTAACACCTTTTATACAGATCCAGAATACACGCCTCTCTTCATCCAGTATCTGCATTGTTATAAAGAGAAACCTCACAGTTAAAGCTATTACACAGCTTTTCTTGCTCTTTCACTTCATATGATGATGAAATCTATAAAACGTACTAAGCATGGGCCGATTAGCGGTATCAAGGTAAACCGCGATTTGAAATTGTCACAGTTTCAAAACCACTAACATTTTCCGTTATACTGTGCCTGCGGTATACACCGTTTTTCAAAATCATCATGGGCAACCAAAAGGCCTAAAATTATGCTCAATATTTCATTTACAATAACACTTGAATTACACACCTCAAAGTAATGTCTGTTTGCATATTTGCCAGATTTACTCCGACACAGGTGAACGAGACAAAACAGTCCCCACTTTTTACACTCATGAATTACAAGATTACATAAGGACTTGCATTTCATTTGAATGCATGAATGTGGTGCTGGCACACTTACCTCCCGTACGGCATTGCAGAACTCACTCTGCAAAACCCTCTGCAGTGCCTGCAGCTTCTGGGGAGGCACTTCCCCTGTTCTCTGGAGTTTGTCCAGCAGCTCAATGGCACGAGATATGTCTGGAAAAGAGCATATGCAAAACAATGAGGGCAAGACCAAAGCCTTGGATAATCTATAATCTATATCTATAATCTATTGGATAAATTTGCATCATTCAATCTGAAGATGCTGTCTTTGATTAAACATCTATGCCGAATAAAAAAACATTAAATGGTTATGTAAATATATCAGAATGTAATTCTCTCTCCATAAAACAAAAAAAAAATTTGTTTGCCTCATGTTTTATTTTTATTATTATTATGCCACCGTGGTTTGCATGTACTGGTATCAAATGTCTCTACAACTAATAAGAAATGTCATTTGTTAATCAACCTAAAAAAATAAAATAACTTCTAACGGAAAGACATGTTTGGTTCTCAGCTTCAGCCACAGTAATAGCTTCTTCATTCAGAAAATACAGAAATACACAATACGAATATCAAAATAACAGATGTAAACTAAAGACCTCTGATCATATAAATCAGCGCTTTTGCTAATCTACTAGCCAACACTCATTCTTCACAATATAAAGTCCCATAAACTGTTACTTGGACTGCAAATAAGATGCTGGCTGGTCAGGATGTCACTAAAAGACTGTACTAAACCAGCAGAAACAATCAAATACCCTGATCTCTAACATTAACTCTGTCCTCGATTGACCATGCTAACAGTGCTCACAAAAGATTACTGCTTCTGACAGCTAACTTAAGTTAGCCTCGTGTTGTTCTTGAACGTAAACACGCCGCTTTAACGACAGACAAAAGATTCATGCTTTACATTTTATACGTTTTCCTAGACGTCGTGGAATTTATTGAATATTACGAATGATTTGATTCAATTAATGGCAGCTAACTCGCTGTCGTCCACTAATCCATCCTCATGAAGTGACAGCGGGATGTTAAGAGCAAAAAGCGTGATTTACACAACCTCCTGAGCGTTACATGCACCAGAAAGTGTTTCAGTGAGCGGCTTACCTCTTTCCAGACGCACAGGTTCTCCTAGAGAGGCCATTTTAGCCCTGGATACAGAGTTTGCGTTTGGCGAAAGCTCCAGACTCACGTCTCGGCTGCTGTGTTTGTTGCTGTTAGCTAGCTGTAGCTGAGCTAAAGCGCTGTGGCCAATGCAAAGAGATTAAAGGGCGAATCAAGAGCGTCATTCCTGCGCTGCTTCTGTGCAGCCACTTTACCTATCATTACAGACACTTAAAAAAAAATATATATATATATATGAGCAGCCCGAGGAAATATAATTTTATTGTATTATATATGAGGATTATATAATATATTTAAGCAAAAGGTACTAGAAGTCGTGCTATATATATATTGTGAATATTGTTACAACTACAGGATAGGCTACTGTTTGGCACGACTGTACAGTGTAATTTCTGTAAGCATTTTATATACATTTTTACTTTACTATATTAGTGCAAATGTTCGTGTAAATACTATTTTATTATGAAAATTCATTTTGTGTCATCCCTTTCGGTAGAAGATACAGTCCCTATAGTTAACAGAGCAGTGCCATGCAATAAAATAATCTGGTTTTGTGGATAGGTTTTAGATTATAATGGTTTCATCGTTTATTCTATGTAACAGATGTTCAGATAAAAAAAGGAAAACATTTAATTTCTGTTTTTAATTAATAAAAACATTTTTTAATTTTTTTTATTAAAGAACACTATTTAGAGGATTCATCTACATATATGAGCCTTGGAATATAAAAAAATCATACTGCACACTCAATCAAAAATTTATTTAATCAAGCAAAATAAAATTTTAACTGTAATTAGTTCACTTAATTGCAATTATTTTATGGTATTATCATTAGACACTGTATTTTGCTCTGTTAGTTTTTTTATTTTTTTTATTTTTTTTACTCCTTTGATATTTACTCCTTATATTTTATCAAAACCACAAAACAAACTGGACTGGCTTGCTAAAACGGTGATTCTAGGAGTTTAGTTGCTGGTATTGTAGAAAGGGAAACAGAATAGAATGGCCTACTTCTGTAGCAAATGGGACAGGGCCCTGCTGGGTCTTACCAAGGACTACTTTGAACTGGGGAAAATCTGAACCTCACGAAAATAACACAGACATGCAAGTTGTTTCTCTGGTAAAATGCACCAGTAGAATGTTGTATTGTCTATTTCCTTATCCATTCCAGACATCATTGCTGTACATGGTTGCATTTTACAGTAAAAAAGGCTCACGTTATGTTTTTTGTTTTTTTTTGTTAATAATGATAAGCAAGGGTTTTATATTGGTATTTGATTATTATAGTTTCTATACAATGATTCTTTGTTGAATCAACACGATGGTGTTTGATTTGATTCAGGTATATCTAGAAAAGATGCACACCCATGATCATTTATTGTGACTTTCTGCCTGAGCATCCTTTCTTTATTGTCCTGTCCATGTACTTTTGATGCAGTGAGATACTTACCATAAACAGATGAAACTCGGTGTCCTCCCTTATCTGTGGCAGTGTATCAGTGTCAGACAGTTTCTGTTCTGTTGTCTGATAACAGCCTTTGAAGGAAAGCAGGTTTGTGTATAGGTCTGTGTCTGTGTTCAGGTGCATCAGATATCAGGTAGAGTGCATTGGAGCGTTGACTCCATTGATCTATCTTTCAGACAAAAGAAAATCCTAATCTCTTAGTGCTAGCGAAGACGACCTGTACCCTGACTGGACAACATTACATGAGGGACTGGTTTCCATAGAATTTACATGCCAAGGCAAGTGTACAATAGGTCTTACCTGAGAACTCTTTGGACTGTTTGTTCTTCTGTGGAAGAGAGTTGAATCTACATTGGATACACTGGATATTCATTTGCATTTGCAAAATTCTTCAAACTTGCTTTTGATCCTCTAGATTATACTGATATATATATATATATATATATATATATATGGTGAGAGGATGGGAGGTACTTAAATGGATCTCTATCCCTTTTGAAATCATTTGAATGTAGGATCCAATGTATGTTCGTTGTGAGAGAAGATGTTCTCTCCAAAGCTTGTGCCAAATTTAGACCTGCAAAGGGAGAGCTCAAACTTTATTGACATTGGGTTTGTTTTTCAGTTGCCTATAGTAATTTTATTTCTTCAAATATTTCAATTTAATATTGCAAACAACTTCACAACATACAAAATGAATTATATTAATCCAGAACACATGTCAATGAATAAATTTTATATATTTTTTATATATATCTTTTCATCTTGTGTGGATAAAAAAATAAACAGCAAAGCTTTGACAACAGCACCTTGACATAGTATGTATTTCCAACATTAACTTGAGAAGTTGAGGATAGTAAACAGACAGAGTACTGAGAGGAGGAAATCCTGTTACGGTTGAGAATGTAAACGGAATGTTTTGGTCGGAAATCGTTTCCTTGTTTTCCCAAAGTGGACAGTTTCTCAATTCACAATTGAAGCAGCATGCAAGTTTTTTTTTTTTTCTTTTTTTTTCCTTGAATGTAATTCTTCCTCACCCCCTCCTCTCCTCATCTCTCAAAATCTTGGCAACGTAAAAAACACAATGTCTTGAGGAATGTGGTATAGTAATTTGAACTGGGCGCGAATGACTGATCAGATCTTTTTTTAATTGTTTACAAGATCATGAATATGTTCAATAAATAGACTGTAGTATCACTTTTACTGTATAAACTTCATCTTTTTTACATGCAGTCCATAAAATTTTCATCTGACGGAATAATTTACCCTGTTATGTATATATACAAATAGATATTTTCTTTTTTCTCTCTCTTTTTTAGAACTCTCAATAAAATCTATACATTGTGTACACTATCTGCCCCTCTTAATGGTCAATGTGCATACACACGAAGTGTCTATCCGTATAAACCGCCAGCCGATCTTCCTTTTGCTATCCATGGTAAGGGCTCGCACGTAAGACTGGGTTGTCCGGCATTGTGAGTTATAGTGCCGCTTGTCTATTCCTCGGCAGCCCTCCTTTGTGTACCCTAAGGGGTTGCATTTGGTCTCATAAAAGTATTGCTTCAGCTGACCGTTAGTCACGGGGACCTTCTCCAGGACGGTGACCGTCTGGCCCGACATGTCTATGGCTGTCTTTTTGTCCAGAGCCGTCACCCACTGGCTAATACTGTCACAAACGCTGAGCTCCCCTCGCCGCGCGGGGTCCGAGTGCCGTCGCACACGCATTGACATGTTGGCGGCGTCCAGGTAGTTTTTGTATTCCTCCAAGAGAAAGAGTAACGGTGGCTCCAAAGGCACTTGGTTGCTGATCATCACCCGCGAGGCGTACATGTCAACGTCCTTTGAGTCAGCCATGGCTGCGGGACCACCCCCTCCTTGGCCCTGGTCGGCCCTGGGGTCCAGTTGCTGCGTCGCTTCTCCTTCCACCCCAAGCCACTCCTCAATCACCTGCTCGAAAGTGTCCGTGAGCGAGGGCAGCCCGCCCCCACTCTGTGGAGTCCCGTGGCCTCGGCTGCCTGAGGTGAGGCTGCCCAGGTACCCCTCGGCCCGGTGGCCCCCCTGCACGCCCGGGATCTCTCTCATGGGCGCAGCTCTCATGCAACTGAAGTATGAAATAACCATAGTAACGAACAGGATGGTCATCACTCTTCTAACCTGTTGGAACTGGAGACAGCAAAAGAGGAAAGACGAGAGGGATGGGGGGAGTGAGGAAAGGGGAGGGAAGAAGAGAAAACACAACATAAAGCAACCATTTCCATTCACCATGCTGCAATAAACATTACATTAAACACATTTATTAATGGCCTTGTGTTATTGTGTCCAATGAAATTCACAAATCATTTCCATAATGTGATAAAAAAGTACGACACAAACAAAACGTGCCAACTTGTTATTTCTTTGTTTCTTTTTTTTTTAGTTACCGGCCCATGGGAGCACAACTAACACTGTGTGCTTTCTCCGTCCCTGCACACACACCTGCACGTTTGTGCCCCCCTTCCCTCACCAGCAAATACAGCGGGCTAAATTCAGAGACCCTGGAGTATCATTAAGAGGACACGAGAGAACTGCTCCCACTCTCCTCCGTCTCTCTCTTCCCCTTCCTTTCCTCCTTCTCGCTCTCCTACTCCCTTGCCTCCTCTGTTCCCTTAGAGGTGTGTAAACTGCTTGTGTGAGTATCAGACGGAACAGATATAGGTGACATGCAAAGCCTACCAAAAAATTACAGAACAGCTTCTATCATCAAGGTTTTTCATGAGTAATTCAATATTGGATTCATTTTACTTTACATTTTGACATTATTAAAATAATATATAATTGTTACTACTAAAATCATAAAATGTTCTTATTTTTTTAACTATTAATTTCTGTTTAGAATATTTGAGTTATACATGAGTTATATACTTCCCAAATATATAACAACATCTAAACTTCTCTGGAATCAGCTGAGCAGAATTAATTTGGAAGAAGGTACCCACACAATAGGGTGATGATTATCTTTCCCACTAAGAGAGTTAAAAACTGAAGGAGATAGAGAGATAAGGAAAGACAGTAAAAATGCAGAGAATGATTTGAAATGGAGTGATCAGAGAAAGATACATAGAGAAGAAGAAAGGCAGAAAGAATTGAAAAAGACGCCAGTCATTCATTCACTCATTCATACCTACACACAAACTGCCATGTTCTAGTCAATGACATTTTCCTGACTACAAAAACAATGCAACTAAATGAAAATTCCAGGAAACCGTGAACCTATTTGATTCCTCCTCTCTCCCTTCCTCTCTGCAGCTTTCTCTTACCTCTCTGAAGTCCCTCTATGAATCACTGCAATTCATTGCATCCAACGGCATCCCAGCGCATATGAACAGACAGGGGAACATGCATACACAACAACAAAAAATACCCATTACTCTCACTTTTCGAAGGAGAAGGAGAAGGGGAGAGGTAGGCGTGGGGAAAGGGGGGTGGAGGGGGTGCATTTAAAAATATCCGGCACCGCAGCAAGGCTTCGCCAGTTCTCTGTGTGCTGTCCTCCTGATGCCCCACGCAGCCTCAGGAAGAGGCAGAGGGAGGATCCGCTCCCAGAGCAGAAGGCAGTACGGGCCGGTAGGAGAGATGGAGGGACACGCCCTGTCTAAAAGGCATTTGTTTCATTCTTAATTGGTGTCTGGGGCCACGGCTGCGATTTG